AACGAATATGGGGAATAACTAATCTCTGAAAATAGTAATTCCCATTTTTGAAACGTCCGTCTAGATTCTTTCGACCCCGTTGCGTCCGGAAGTCGAGTCGGACCTGATTGTCCCCAATTTCGTTTCAGTGTTGAAATACATTGAGCTTTTTTATGATAAAAATAGAATTTAAGGAGATTCATTTGCATAACAATGAAATAAGCATAAAATGAAATAACAATCAAAGAGATACCATCATATTCGAGCATAAATTCCTTAATAATATATACAAGTCACTTTCGTTATAATGAACTCTCGATATAGTGAAGATTCGATATAGTGAAGAATTTTAAATTACAGTATTATTAAACTTCAACCCGATATAATAAAGTATGTATAGTATTCTCTTGTTATAAGTTATAGTGAATTTTTTTCTCAGCCCGATTACTTCACTATAACGAAGTCACTTGTAATAACAAATCAAAGATGATTTTCGGGACTTGTGTATGTTCTCTCATTAAGTTTGGATGATTCTTGCTTAATAAAACGGCTATTTCCAAACTGCTTCCAATTTAGTTAAAAAAGAATTTAATTGAATATAGTACAGTCTTAACTCAGGTAGAACATTTGGTATTGGCGCATATCCATTCCCAATGTGAGTACTGATAAATTTTTTTTCGATGTTGCTTGGTTTTATCTTATACGTTCTACTCTGTGGGAAAATGGAAGGCATTAAATTTGAACTAGAAGGCGCCTTAAAACAACAAGGGGAGAAATTTGACAAGAAATTAAAGCCCAGGATGCCAAAATTGCGGCTTTATCTGGAGAACAAGCCGAAGTGTAATGCGAAAGGGGATTACGAAGAAATTAAGATACCTACCAAGCCCAAATAAATAGCCCGCCAAGGAATTGCCGTTTAGTTTATCGAGCAAATCGGTTTCTAAATTATCCACTCCCAATGCTTCCTCTGCATCATCAATAATTTGGCGCATCAACTCGTAAACCTTCCCCATTAGTTTTTTTTTTTGAGGGTGAATTCTAGTAATTCTAGTTGAGAACTATTTTAGAACAATTGAATCATAATGTTTCACTTCTATAAAACCAAAATGGATATGTATGTGCTGGAGCATAATGATGACTCAAATTAAATCGGTGGAAGTGCCTACTATCAACAAAAACATCGAGTCAACAATAAAGGTCTTGAACTCGTTATAGCAACAATATTTTCAGTTTTTAAGTTCAAATTGTAGTCGAATTAAGAAGTTATAAATATCAGCTATCGCAATCGCAATCACGACAGCAACAACAGAGAACATAACCACTACAGCAACAACAGAGAACACAATAAAAGCAACAGCGGCGACGACGACGACGACAGAAACAGCAATCGGAACAAAAAGCAAAAATTCAAGAATTCAATCTATTAAAATTAAATAGCATAAAATATTTGG